GCTAGAGCCTGAAGGGACCTCAGAGAACTCTAGTCCAATCCTTTCACTTTCCAGATGGGGAAACTGAAGTCCAGGGAAGAAAGGGGCTTGATCAATGTTATGCTGCAGGAGCTTGGAAAACAGGGAGGAGCTTTTCAGTGAACTTTGGCCTCAGTTGGCTGTGTGACCCCCTAGTGTGTTGCTCACCCTCTCTGGGCCCAGAACTAGTCATATGCCCTGCCCAAGCCCCTGTCTCATTCCCCTTAGCTGCTACAGCAGAATAGCATAGACTGGGATACTTAAACAACAGAAATTTATTTCTCACAGTCCTGGAGGCTGGGAAGTTCAGATCAAGGTGCCGGCAGATTGGGTTCCTGGTGAGAGCTCCCTTCCTGTCTCACTGTGTCCTCATGTGGCCAAGAAAGATCATCTCTCATGTCACTTTTTATAAGAGCACCAATCCCATTCATGAGGGCTCTAACCTCATGACCTAATTACCTCCCAAAGGCCCTACCTCCTAATACCATCACATTGGGGATTAGGGCTTCAACATATTTATTTGGGGTAAATACATTCTGTCCATAGCAGCTTGTGTGCCTTTTTTTTTAGGGCAAGAGTGACTGCAGTATTGAGAACTGGCTGCACATAAACCTCATTGCAACCATGACGGAGGTGCACTTGCTAATAACAGGGCTGGAGGGGAAGATACAGGAGCCAACATTGTAGACTATCTGCTTTGGGCCAGCAGCTTCACTGAGACTCACACACAGGGGTCTCCATGGGCCCTCACAGCAGCCTATTTGACAGATGGGTCAACTCCAGTTTGTGGATGAGGCCCACACAGTGAGGTCAAATGACTTGTCCAAGGTCACACCACTCATTAAATGTCTCCACTGTAGAGTGGTAGCTCAGGTGGTATTTGGACAAGGCAGCAAGGATGTCAGAATCTGGTGAGCTGTGGCAAGGGGACAGCTGCCTGCTCCAGCCTCACACCCATACCTCATTGTGATGAAAGGAAACTGGGAAGTAGAGGGCAGGGGATGCATCTCAAAGAAAAAGTATGACTACTGATTGTAATATCTTTCCTTACCTCCAGCAAACCTGTAAGATAGGTGGAGTAGGAATCACTAGCCAAGAAACTGAGGTCCAAGGACTTCCCATGGATGAATGACCCAGGGGCTAATCCAAATATTCATTCATTCATCAAGCATTTATTGAGTGCCTTCTGGATGCCAGGTACCATACTAAGTACAAAAGTGACATGACTCCTACCCACTCAGAGCTCTCCAGCTCCTGAGGAAGGGAGACAGCTAAGCAGGCCCAAGCAATAGAATGTGGACTATGGTATGATACAGGAAGCATCTGAGATTCAGGAGCATTTACACAGCCTTGCACAGTCAGAGAAGGCATTCAAGTAAAGGGCACTGTGCTGAGAACAGGCCATTGTCAAGGCAGAAAAGGTTGGGGGAGTAGAGAGTGTTCCAGTCTGGAGAATTCAGGCAACTGATGATTCTACACTAACTAGCAGGTCTTCAGCTCTGTCCTACTGTCAGAATATCATTTGAGTGGAATCATACAAGTGCTTCTGGGCCGATGGACTTCCAGCTCTCTAATCAAGGAAATCCCACAGTTAGATCAAATACCAAAGTGAGCTCTGCAACTTAGAAGGAAAAGCCAAGGTGCCCAGAACAGGATTGATCTCATGCATGCACTTGTGACATGCAGGAGCAAGGGGTAACAGGTTGGGGACAAGCCACATCAGGAGAGGTAGCTACAATGGGGAATCTCAAAGAAGGAAGTCTAAGATCAGTCATCTACTGGGGCAAAGTTCTGGTTTTTAACTGATTTTGCTGTCCCAGCATTTCATCCCTCCATACATGCACACATAGGTCCCTTCCTTCGCTTTTTATTATGTCCCTCCTGACCTTTTACTAATAAATAATTGTATATTTTAGTTTCCTCCATGTCCGTCTTTTGGCTTAAAGCTCACTTAACCTTTTGGGGGGAAAATATTTTGTATTCATCTCCCCTGATACCCTGGGTCAGAGCAGATCTGCCTGCTCTGGGTGTCCCCAGCACCTGGGATTCGTCATCTTGGCAAACCCATTATGTCACATAGAAATCACGCATTTAACTGTCTGTCTTCTCCACCGTCAACTCCTGGAAAGCAGGGACCATGTCTGTCTGTTCAGTGCCTGGAACAGAGTAGATGCCCAAAACAATTATTGGATGGATGGGTGGGTGGATGGATGGATGGATGGATGGATGGATGGATGGATGGATGGATGGACGGACAGACAGGTAGATGGGTGGAGAGATGGTTGGAGATCATTGTTCGTCTCAACACAATAATCATTAAAATTACCAGTAGGCGATTAATGCATGCCTACTATTGTCATCACAAATATAATTACTGCTAACGATTCTCATAGCTCATGCTGTCAGATGTAATTATCTGTGCCTGTAAGCCACGCCACAGGTAGCAGGGGGACAGATAGAAAACAATGCCTCAAGTTTAGAAAGTCCCTTGTGGTTCACGAAGCACTTTTGTTCACATATGGCACTTTATTAAGTATCCTCGGAACCTCATGAGGGATACTCACCAGGGGAGGCAGCAAAGTGTCCTGATTAAGAGAATGTCTCTGGATCCAGAGAACTTGAGTTTAAATCCCAATTCCACCACTCACTAGCTGTGTGACCTTGGGCAGGTTATATCACCTCTCTTAGCCTCAGTTTCCTCATGTGTTTTATGGGGATAATTAGACTATTTCATAAAGAGGTTGAATGGATTGGTAGTAATCACAATAACTACTGAATGCTTACTCGGTAATTACTGCGCTCAGTTCTAAGTACTTTACATGAAATAACTAATTTAAGTCTCATAACACCTATGAGGTAGATAGTGTTATTCTCCCTCCCTTTTTTAAGATAATAAAACTAAAGTTAATTTGCATACCAATCTGCTGGGAGGTGGAGGAACCAGAATTTGATCAGAAACCTTGGTTTCTAGAGCTCCTGCTAACCTCCACAGCACCTGAACACGCAGGCATCCTTGGTCCCTTCCTCATCAGCTGGTCCCAGTGTAAAGATAAGGCTTCCTACTGCAGCCTTGGGTAAAAGTGCCCTCCTAGAAGGCATGACAGTGTCTCCTGTGGCTCCAGGTGGAAACATCAGATTTGCACATGGTTTATAATTAGCTCCCAACAAATTAGGAGGTAGCAAGAGGAGAATGACTGTTGTCTTACATATGAGGAAACCTAGCCTTAGCAAAGAGGAGGGACTTGCCCAGGGTTCCACAGGATTTGGGAGCACTCAGATTTGAACCCAGATTGCCCTGATTCCATCCTGTGTTCTTCACTGCACCCGGCTCTTCAGAGAGAAAGGAGAGAGTGCCCCCTAGGGGAAGGGGAAGGGGAAAGAGCACCGGGCTGGGAGTCAGGAAACCACTCTGAGCCCCTCTGCTTTTGCTCTTTGTGGCTCTGGACAAGTCCCTTTTCCTTTCTGAGCTTCAGGTTCCTCACTGTGGAAAATAAGATTAACTCTAAAATGTCGCCAGCTCTAAAATTCTGTGCAAGAGGAAAGGATTGTAAAGGAGCAAGATGGGGCAGGGGAGAGGTGGCAAGGGGAGAAGCTGGAGCTGGGGTGTGGGCTCAGCCCCATCTTCCGCCTCCATCCCTCCCCCTCACTGTCCTGGACCTAAGATGGCCAGCTGTCTGAGACTGCTGGGTGGAGTTGGTCGCCGTGCCAGGCCCAGCTGAGCTCAACAGGGGCCCTTTGTCACCCAACGCTTGCCGGGGCCTTGGCCACTGGTGTTGGGTGTCCAAGCAGATTGGATTCTCTCCTGGCAGCCCTGCAGATGCCGCACTTCTGCAAGGGTGGCCGGGCAGGCAGAGAGAAGCCAGCGCTCCCTCTTCTTCCTGGGCTCCCAAAGGGACGTGGCTACTATCTGTGGTACCGGGCTGTGAGAGCCCCCAGGTGAGGGCTCCCTGGACCCAAGCTCATGCTGGGGGCCAAGCTGGGGGCTCAGTGAGGTCCTGGTGAATATGCATGAGCTGGCTCCTCTGTGGTTAGGGTCTCAGGGTGGAGGTGGGTGGCTTTCTCCCATCCTAATGCCTATAAGACCCAAGTGGAGAGGACAGTGTATCTCCGCAGGTGTAGGTGGCATGGACAGGGGTAGCATCTATACTTGGGGGGTATGCCCCAAATTGTGTGAACATAGGATGTGTGTAAACACATGGGGATAGTGAGAGAAAAGGGGTCTGTGTGCACAGAGGGGCTGTGAGCCCAGGTATTTTTGAGAGAAGGAGGTGGGGATGTTAGATGTACGCCGAAAGTGTGACTGCATGTGATGCTGCATGGCAGGGAGGGGGTTTTCACCAGCGTGTGTGTATGGCAGTGGGGTGGGCCCTGAGAGTAGGTGGGTTGGGTGTTGCAGGGCACCCTGAACTCTGTGGGTCTGAGGGGGTGTGTGCACTAGGGTGTGTGTTGTGAAATCAGTGTGTTACATAGCATAGTGGGCAATTAGGGAATTGGGTGTATACGGTCTTGGGGGTGCTATCTCGTGGAGTCTGCAGGAGTGTGCCGGTATGTTTGGATTTACAGTGTGTGCTGGTGTGTTATGGGGTGTTGTAAAACAGCCGTGTTAGAGTACATGGGTGTTATTTTGGGTGGGCACGCATGCACACACACATTGGGCTTTCATGAGCACCCATCCCATGAGGCCTCCAGTTCCTGACCCTTGTCACCACCCTGTGCTTCCCCCACAGGAGCCACCGCCCCTGACCATGTAGATGCCAGCTCCAGGGAGCAGCATGGGCCCCGCTGAATGGAGACTACTGGGTCTAGAGCCCTGAGCCCTTTCGGCCCCTGGACTTCACCCTGCACCCAGGGACATCCTTTGGAGTTCACCACCACTGTTGTCAGCCCACCTCGGCTGCCCCCACCCCCTGGGACCCGGAGTCGACCACCAGGAGCCACAGCCATCCAGTGAGGTTGTGCTAAGGACAGCCACACAGAGCCATCACCCAGCAGCCTCTGGTCCAGCGCTGACCCCCAAGCAGGGACTGTGGCAAACATGGGTGACATGACCAACAGCGACTTTTACTCCAAAAACCAAAGAAACGAGTCGAGCCATGGGGGCGAGTTTGGGTGCACGCTGGAGGAGCTCCGCTCCCTCATGGAGCTGCGGAGCACTGAGGCTGTGGTCAAGATCAAGGAGACTTACGGGGACACCGAAGCCATCTGCCGGCGCCTCAAAACCTCACCTATCGAAGGTAGGTGTGGGAGATTCAGTCTCAGAGCTGTATCCCTGGTGACCGCCATCTGTGTTCGCTCCAGGAGCAATATTCATAATATTTAACCACAGGAATGTCTTGGACAGGGGCTAAAATGCCAGTATGGCCATTGTGGTGTATTCTAGCTGAAGGTCAGCCCGTTTGGATAGGCCAGTGGATGGGTCTCCCATTTTCTCCCCATTGTGGGTTGGGGTCTGACCCAAGCCACCTGCAGAGAGAACCACAGGAACAAAGCTGAGTCAAGAGCTATGTTCTGGAAACCAGATGCCAAAATCAGCCCAAATGGGCAGCTCACATCCATTTCAGGAGTGGGCTCATCAGCCTGGAAATCTGGGTGGCACCCGGTCTCCAAGGCAGGGCCAGGAGGGAGGTCAGTGGGGCCAGAAGAGGAACCACCCCTTGCTTGCCTTCATCAAAGCTCAGGCAGGGCTCCTGCTTTTGCCACCCCATCTACAGTGGTTGGATTTCAGGATCTAGCCACCCAGTCCCTGGCCTCCCTTTCCCAGGCCCCAAAAACCCCCTTGTCTGGGTCCCAGCATGGAACCATAGCATTGCCGCCATGCAGCCAGTTCCAGCTTCCCAACCCTTGCCACTGGGCTAGATCCTGGATGACTGTCCCAAATCCAGGCTCTGACTTGGAGTCCCCTAGGTTTCTGGGGCAACTGTAGGCTTTGGAACTGCTGGACAGACAGGGCAGGCAGGAAGATGGATCATCACGGAAAGGGTGACAGATGCCATGTGTGTCTTGCCCTTGACATGGGTGTGGAACTTTCTTGCAACCACCGAAATAAGTAGGCCTAAGATCTCCAGAGAGAGGATTTCAACCTCCTGGGGGCTTCCCTAGAGGGGACCAAGCCCAGTCAGCTGCCATGAGGCCCAGAGGAGAGAAACCAGCGCAGCTTATGCACCACAGCTCAGTTTGAGTCTCCATCCCCACAGTTACCTTCCCCCAACCATGAAGGAAAAGTTTCCTATACGAACCCCAAAGACATGGGTGTGAGGCTCTTCCCGGGCACTCCCCAATCCTGTAATTTTATGGAAAGAGGAAGCCTCAGTTTCTTCCTCTGGAAAATGGGGTCAACGCCTACTTCACAGTGCCTAGTGGAGGCCTGAGCATGAAGTGAGTGCTCAACAATTGGCAACTATATTATTCTAAGGAGAGTGGATGACAATTCCTCCCCCAGGTATAGATCACAACCTGGGAGGCAGCATCTGAACCCTTAGCCCCATATAACACGGAACAAATCTGAGGCCGGAGGTTTCTCTCACTCCATCGCCTAACTCCAGACCCCGTGCCCTGGGCATGGCTGGGCACTGACCCTGAATGCATTTCCTATAGAGGCTGTTTGTGAACCTAGGTGCTCAGCTGGGGCCTGCCAGTCTGTCTAGTGGGTTGCTTGTGCCTGCACCCTGCTGCACCCAGTGGCTCGGTGCATCTGTGTCTCTCTTCTTCAGGGCCCTCTTGGGTCAGGAGGAAGAACTAAGCCTGGTCTTTCTTCCCAGATTGGCTGCTGTCTCTGATGTTGTACCTACGTGCTGAGCCGGGCTGAAGTTTAGAAACACCTTTGCTTTCTTGGAGTCTGGTTGTTTTGGCAGGGAGGGTAGGAATAGAGTAAACATCCTCTCTTCACTGTGTGATTCTTGAGAATGACCACATGTGGCCCTGTGATGTGAGTGGTCTCTGCCTTGGGGCTCCCTTGTGGGAACACCAATCTGGCAGAATGATCCATGCTCACCTCTGCCATCAGGCTGGCATACTCGGCCTGCTAGGAGTCAGGGTTGCCCAAGTGGTCTCTGCCTTGTGAATAGGACCATGAAATTCTCTTGAGTTGGGAATTCTTAAGTGTCTATGGGCTCCAGGCCCAGATGAAAGCTGTGGCCCTTCTCCCCAGAGAAACAGCCAGCCGCATGCAACAGCACACCATCAGTGCCTTCACAGAGCCCCTCACAGCCAGGCCATGGGCCTAGGGTTAGGAAATCTGCCCTCCACCCCCACCTGACAGGCTCTCAGACCCTGGGAAACTGAGTGGCCCATTGCCAAGCTCCAGCACTGTAAGGAGCCATTACCAGTTGGCTCAGGGCACCTGAGGACAGGAATCCTGTCTTGCTCCTCTCTGTATATCCAGTGCCCAGTCTGGTGCCTGGCACAGAAAGGGTATATAAGTGCCCATAAAACCGAGACATAGCCATTGAGTCCCCCGCCCACAGGGAGCAGCTCAGATGTCTGAGCAACCAAAGCAGCAAATAATCCAGACCAAGTGCAGCAAGGTCCCCAGAGCTCATAGGAGAGGTGAGGTGGGTGGACAGTGAAGGTCAGAGAAGGCTTCCTGGAGGAGCAGGAAATGGAAAGTATGTTGCACAGAATAAAGCAGCATTTCTTAGAATTCCATAGAACACTAGTGTGTTACAAGAGTTAAGCATTACGTGAAAAATAAGGTTTTGGTTTTCTCATCTGTAGAATGGAAAAAATAGTAACAGCTCTTACTAGTGCTCTGGCACCTGTGAGCTGTGCGTGTGCCTTTGGGCCTTTTGTCTGACCTCTGTAAGCTTTGGTTTCCTAATTTTTCATGAGGACCAAGTGAGATCTCTGATGGGAAAGGTCTCTGAGGAGGAGGAAAGACTGGGGTAGGATTAACCAGAGCCCCTGCTGCATTGGTCCCTAGAAGGACCTCCCAGGGTGCAGGTGGAGCTGAAAGAGGCTTGGGGAGGGGCAGAAGAGCATAATGCCACAGACGCCAGACTTGGGTGACCTGGGTTCAAATCCCAGCCCTGCCATTTACCCGCTGTGGGACTGTGAGCAAGTTATGCAACCTCTCTGTGCCTCAGTTGTTTCCTCAGCATCCCCTGTAAAATGGGAATAATGCTAGTGGTTCCTCATAGGGCTGTGGTGAAGACAAAGGGAAATAGCTTGGAACAGCACCTGGCACGTGGGCCACGCTCTGTGTTAGATTCACACCAGAGACTAAACACCTCCATTTCCCCATCAGTAAAAATGGATTGTGAACATTGTCATTCATTCAGATCAGTACCCAGTACCCAGTACCTAAGTGCTTAACAAGTGGCAGCTCTTGTTGTTTTCGTTGTGATCATCACTCTCTGGAAGAAGCAGTCACATTCTCCAGATAGGGTGGAATCCGACTCTTCCGGAACACTGGTCAGTGTCCCCCACATGGTGCCACACTTCGTCGTAGGCTATCTGCATCCTTATGACACAGGTGCCTGGAAGCAGGAGTTGTTATCCCATTTTACACATGGGGCACATGAGGGCTTGGGGTCATCACCACAGTTCACATCAAAGCAGACTTTGAACTCAGCTCTGATGGACACTGTGCCCAGCTGTGCTGTCAGCCCCAAGCCAGGCATGTGCCCCGGGCACAGTCCTCTAAAGGCGCTTTCTGTCTGATGAGGGCCTGAGTAGGGTGGCGCCACCAGGGAACTTCTTTTTCTCTCTCATGTTCAGCATTTGTCCTGCCCTGTTTGCCCTCTTCTGGTTTACAGAAATGCTTGGCCTCCAGCCCCAGCCCCCAGCTTAGAGCTGTGTGGTCTGAAGCTCTGCCAGCTCCATATAGGGACTCAGGTTGGCCATTCCTGGCACCCCCTGCCCCCAATCTGCTGACGTGAGCAAGGAGCTGGCCTCTGAGTCACACTATAGGAAACTGCTCCAGGCCACGCATAAATTAGCCTTCCCATTCACATCCAGCTAATTTTAGGCAAAAAGATCTCTGCAAGTGATAGAGGGGGTTTAAAGCCATGGAAATCTATTCCCACCCAAGCCACCACCTGCTGCCACCACAGGCCATAGGCTCAGCTCCCACAGCCTGGCAGTGTTGGATTTTCTATTTAAAAAGCTAACTCTGGGGACAACTATTGTGTCAACCTGGCCCCTGAGAGGCCAGGGGTGGCCTCTAGCCGCCCCTCCTCCCCATCTGAGTTTCATTTCTTTCCTTTTCTACTACTGGTTCTGTCACATTCTGGTAATGCCTTTCCCTCTGCCCTCCATTGCCCCTTTTCTTCCACACCTTTCCAGCCTAGAAGAGCAGCGCCCCAGAGACCCAGGTTCAAATCCTGACTGGCTTGCTCTTAAGGGACACTGGGAAAACTTTATAACCTCTCTGAGTCTTAGTTGCCTTATCTGTGAAATGGGGATAACACTGCCTACCTCACAAATGTTGTCCACATGAAGAGCTTAGTGCAGTGTGCGGCAGAGCCCAGACACTTACAGAATGATGTTGTCACTGTTACTATTATACCTAATGTTCCTTTTAGAAAACAACATGCATGGGCCCCATCCTCGTGAAAGAATCAGGCGGTTGATAAGACAGTGCCCAGTGAAGAGTAGGCAGACTCATGACGAGTCTGGAAAGATAGGTAGTGGGTGTTGGGGTGGCCTGTGAGGTCCCGGAGGCAGGAGCTGTTTGTCATTCTTCACCATGTCCCCAGCACCTGGTACGATGTCTGGGGGCTCAAAATTATTCACAGAAGGAAGGAAGAGAGGGAGAAAGAAGAGATAATGGTCCTGGTGCCTGTCACTGTGTAGGATAGAAGGCTGCAACCTGGGGACAGGACACAGGACACCCTTTGTCACCCTTGGAACAATTGGCTTCAGCTCCCCAAGCCTAGAGTGGCACTTCCTGAGCCGCTCGCACACACAGACCTGTCCTTCACTTCCTGTCACCCGCACCTAAGGCTGTCAGAGGGGCAGCTCAGACAAGTCCCTCTGGGTGCTCCCGGCGTTGCGTGTTCCATGCGGGGGAGAAGGGGGGACAAAGAAGATGGGGCAGCGGCAGGTGGGGTGGGAACTGGATACTTCAGAGTGTTGTGAAACAGAACCTCCGGTTAATTTTGTATGAATCCAGCCTGCCCAAGTGGAGGAGAGGGGCTGAGGGAGGCCAGGAGGGCAGATCATGGGGGACGGTGCCTCATGTTGCACAAATATGACGTTAGTCACGAACGCTCCTCCTGGAAGGGCTCAGGTCATC